GCTACGGGTCCAAGAAGACCAATCAAAATAGCGGCGGTTGGCGACAATTCCCCAAGGCTAGCTTTAACCTGAAGGAGATCTGTGAGAGACACACCAAAAAATAGCAAAGGATACAAGTAGCTTAATTTGAGAAATTATTGCTTAATTTGCAAGAAGACTTATCCTTATTACGCAAATCGACGCTCCTCCAAGTATCTCAATTTTCTGCTTTCGATCCACACCGCTGACCAGGTAATTTGATCATCGGATCATCCAAACACCATGTTCTTGGTCGACCGACTGGATATCGGTGATCCAGCGGAATCCAGTTTGCCAGTCTTGACCTCCATTGTTTGTCTCCCAAGCATGCCACATGACCAGCCATTTTTCTTTATCGTGTAAAGTCAGAAACAGCGTCTGCTAATCGAGCTGTCCGTTGTCGAATTTTTTCGCTCGGTACGTGATCCCGGAGGGACACCTGGTACAATTTCCGCTCCATCGTTCTTTTAGTAACCATCAGTCTGTTTTCCTCCACTTTAACAGCAGACCAACATTCAGCAAATTACACCATGACGAAAAAGAAGGGTTCAACCATCTAGTTATTTCTTCGCCCGCATGGGCAGCTCACGGTCGAATAGGATAGGGTAAGATGACGCATACCGCCTTCCTGCTACGGATGATTTCTCACCTAAGGAGTTCATGCAATTCATCTCACAGCAGAGGTATACATTGATGGTGGCTTCTTGGAATTTTTCGCAATTCCGAGCCCTTGGGAAAGTACTCGTTTCGTATCCATTTCGTCTAGCATCTTCGTCCTCTGAATAGATCGTGAAAAAATTTTCATGTAACTGCTAGATCTTCTTTTGGATATCCATCATATCTTTCTGCAAAGACGATGCATTCATCCGCAAATAACAAACGCGTTAGCTGCTCTCCACCAATATTTATGCGATTGCACAGTTAGCCAGTTCAGAGAGTAACTTAAAAACGGTGGAAAAGAGCGCGGGTCTTCCGCACCTTAGGAGTGCTGGTTTGTTTGTTTTCAATAAGATGTTTGTCAAGAACTTTAAACAGGATTGTTTCCTCAGCTTTGAGATGTTCTGGCTTTGCCAGTGCCTTTATTACTTTTAACGTTTCTGACACCGACTCAACTTCATCCCAGATGACCTTTGAAGCAACTTCTGATTGTCATCTACTTTGGGAAAGTAAGAATTGTCGAAGAAGTTTGCGCAGATCGCGTTCATTCGATTACCATAAACAGTTCTTGCTCCTCCTTCGTTTGCGCGCTTCACAATTCGTTGATTTCAGGTGAATACGTTGTCCTGCTTCTTGTAGGGCTTCTTTCCCTCCGTAGCGTCTCTTATTTTCTGAATCAAATTCTCCTGCAATTTTCATAATTTTCCCTCAACTACTTCCGTGTCTCGTTGCGCAACGCAACGTATACATTATTCGTTTTGCCATTGGCCTTCAGTTGGTTCATACAGCCATTAATTGCCTTTTTGAAGGGCTGGTGTGTCGGTTTTCATTGACCCTGCTGTCCAGTTAGAATGTCCTAACTGCAGTTTTGAATGGATTGACGGGATTGTCATAATCTGTTCCATGCCCTCTCTGATGTTAATTTCAAGATTTACTGATGGCAGCTCCTCTGCGGTAGCCTCTAGATCGAATCGTAGTTCTCTACAAAGCGAAAAATCTTCTGGCCATTTGATCCGTTCTTCGTTTGTGACATCGATCGTAACTGTAAACATAATGGTCCGTGGTGTGACCTATGACCGGGGAGTCTAATATCATTCATTCCTTGTCACTCAGTAGATAGTCAGTTTCGTTCAAACACTTTCCGTCTGGGCTTCTCCATGTTCAAAGTCGCTTTGGAGATTTCTGGGAGACTGTGCTCATGACGTGGAGGTCTTTTTACTTTCGTGGAAAATTGCGAAACGACTTACATGTTCATTTCTTTCACATTTATCGTATTTGCCGATAAATACCTCCCTTTCGTTCATTTTATTTTCGACCACTGCAATGAAGTCTCATGGCATAAACGCGTAATTAATTTTCTTCCGGAGTGCGTCTTTAAAATCCCCATAGAACTGTTCGATTCCTTCAAGTTAAGCTTGTTCTATGGAGCTGTAAATTTGGATAGGTTTAGGCAGTAAATAATCAACGTTTATTCAGTGCTCCCTCACATGGTATCAGCAGATTACAAACAGACAAACTACTCAATGAATTGACATTCACAAAAGCCGGACTAGGGGACGACAGAAAACACTATAATCATGAAGGTAAATTTTAGAACAGACTTAAGGTTACTGCACCGACAGAAAAAGAAGGACAAAATTGTACATATGGAAAAAGTACATAAATACTAAGAGGCAATGGTATATACGCAGAATGAACATGGTACCAACGTAGATCATGTACATAAAAATAACACATATATTAAACATAGATACAACGTAGCATACACAGAATTAACGCCTGTATGTGGGGTATTTTGTTTGTATGTCGAGAATCATACTGCCCTACTACGCAAAAACGGTTTATCTGTACACAAGGAGATACCTATCGCTCAACAGACCACATGTATTGCTTTGTGTGTAAATAAACCGTATTTGTGCAGCCAGTATGATGAATCAAATGTAGTCGCCAATATCTGATTAAAGGTCGTGACGTCAGATCCATTTTTAACCGCGCAATTAATGCCGTACATCGACCATGGCCTTGTGCAGAAACGAACATATTCCTTAAGTCACGCAGATACTCATTTTTTTCAATGACCAAAATCTGAATACTAATACTGGCTGATAGCATTAGCCATCAGAGCGTTCTGCACATTGGAACATCAAAATGCAGCGTCCATAAAAGAATTTTACGATGATATCCTTTTTACCTATTTAGTTTGTACATATTTCGCAATCCAAGTTGATAAGGATAAAGATTTCGCGATCCAAGATACGGACGAAGATTATGATGCTAACAGTGACGTTCACGGTAATATCAATATTATGATGAAGAACACTTGTCTATATGAAAGTGATCATGATTACTCTGCTGATTATGATCATACGATGATGTTCCTGATACTGATTTTCGCAAAATGATGCCTATGATGATCATCATAGCCACAGGGACGATGATACGATACAACCATCGTCGGGGTGACGATAATGGTAATGAATTTCATCATGCTAATGATCATCATAAGAACAACGAGGAATATAATGATAGCCATGGAATTGGTGATCATTATGATAGCGATGTGAAGGGATGGTGCCGATCTAGACAATAAGGATGGTGGTGAAGAAAATGATGAGGGCGATGTTGATGACGATCGTAATAAAGATGGTAATGATCATCGTTATAAACATCCGCTGAGTTTAGATCATCATATCATCCACATTACGACTATCATAGTCACCGATATCAAGTCAAGTTTATTCCATTATAGGTGGGGCCTTACAGAAAGCTTACAGAAAATGAAACAAAAAACAAGCTTATATGAAACAAGAGAAACGACGCATACCATGCGACCGCTCAAGATGAGTTTGATCGGACCTGACTCCTGAACGTGTTCTGACTCCTAATGATCCGGAGTCGGTGAGACATAGCTAAACAATTAAAACTTAAGTTCTGACCTATACGGAGTTGCCACGGGGACCGTGGGGATGATCTAGACATAAACAAGAGTGACTATGATGAGAATGTGATGTTTATGATGATCGTAACGAAAATGATGTTAGTAAAATGTTGATCGTGACCATAAGACTGACGACGATTATCACTACGATGCTGATGACAATCGTGATAAACGCAATGACTGCGAAGGTAATCATATTCAGGATGACGAGAGCGCTAACGATGATTGCTTATTATTAGCACGATGGAGATGCTTATTGGGGCGTATGAACAGACTGTGATGTTTATGCGGTAGCACATTAGAAGTACCAGCTTCAGAAACATCGCTAGTGATGAGCGCGAAGTGCCTCTAGCTCACAAAATGACGCGAGATGCATCTGGCACTGCAGGTGCTCAAATAACACTGAGCCGTAGCGTGCGTAACTAACCCCCGGAAAAAGGGAACAATGCAATATGCAGGGAATCTGGTCTTGAAGAAGCCATGCGTTACATGATGGAGATTACGTCATCTGTGATCATGTTTACCGTGACATAGATGCTGATGATGATCTAGACCATTAATATCATGATTATGATAATGAGCACTGTGCGACTGATGATGACGGTAGTAAGGATGTTGTCCGTCCTGATTATCACCGCTGTAACCATGACGAAAAACATGAGGCTAAAGGTGAGGACAGAGACTATGATAAGAATCGTCGATGCTCTTACTGAAAGAAGATATCGAGGAACACGCAAACTAAGAAGGCGATTTATACAAAAAGAGATGGCACGACTTCTCCTAGTTATATTTTGTCTTGTCGTTATCAAGACAGATCGGATGCATGCACAATTCCAAGATGCTTGATCTAACATTGCCAGTCTATAGCTGATAAATTATTGAGTTCAATCGAAACTTGGCAATTCAACGATAAATGCTCATAAATAAAACCTTAACTTATTTCGATAAACGAGTATTAGTGCTCTAATGGCGTCATCGATGAATATCGCTTTTAGAATAGAAAATATTGCAAATGAAAACGAAACTTTTGACATTGCATGATATCACAGGACGAAAAACAACAAAGATGTCACAATTTCGACAACTCAAACAAGCAGGAAAAGAAAAGATGGCGGAAGTAACAGAAAGCCAATAGTATGAAAACCAAGCTTCTTACATTATGCATAATCATACAGCGCTGTTTAACAGCAGATGTACGATGGGACAAACACTTTAAACGTTGTCATGTAAAATGCATTTTGTAATGCTATTTCTCATTCGTCATGTCCATACAATTTGCGGTGCCAGCATAAAATGAAACTCCCATGGACCGCTGGGTTCAGCTTTGAGCTATGGTTTTTTGACATGTGAACGAAATAAAAAATAGGCAGTGTTAACGCTCTGCATAAGGAAATCTGACGACGACACGTGTTCCACGGAACTAAGTGCTGGGAGGGGACACTTGCCGCAAGGGGACTCAAAGCGTGGTAGGTAAACAAACTGGTCTGGCCGGATGGCGAGATACAAGACGGCAAACAACAGCACGACGGCGCCTGGCGCCTCATCCTCACCTTTCCTCAGCGAAGGCGCGTTGACCAGCTGCTTATAGTACGAATAGTAGAGACCGCATTCGGTGCGAAGCGATATCTCGCGCTCCACCTGCTGGATGTTCGTGAACCACAGTAGGTTTTCGTGTAGCGTCATCACGTAGAGAGCGAACCAGCAGCCGGCCGCCACACATGCCACGACACCCACAACAACGTAGGCGACGGC